TGCCAAAAAGCACCTTAAGGACTCTCAGACCAAGAGAAGCAAAATTCTCTACAGTCTGATGAAACAAAGATTTAAGTATTTGGTCACAGTTCGCAATGGCGTATGCTGAGGAAATCAGGCACTGAGCATCACCTCATTAACACCATCCCTACAGTCAGTCACAGTGGAGGCAGCGTCATGATGTGGGTTTGGAAGAGTAGTTAGGATAGACTCTTCCAGTGCAATCCTCAGAAAACATCTTTTGCTCAGGATATCAGGCTGGGGCAAAGGTTTACATTTCAACAAGACAACAACCCAAATAATACCCCCCCAAGACAAAAAGAGCAGCTTCAGAAAATCTTTTTTGAATGTCCTGGAGTCCAGACCTGAACCCATTAGAGCATCTCTGGAGAGACCTAAAAACAGCTGTGCACCAATGCTCTCAATCCAGTGCTGGGGGAGCTTGAATGATTCTGCAAAATAGAATGGGAGAAACTTTGAAGAGATCGGTCTGCCAAACTTGTAGGGTCATTCCCAAAAAAGACTTAAGGCCATCATTGATGCCAAAGGTGCTTTAACCAAGTACTAAGTGAAGGGTTTGAATCATTTTGTAAATGGGATATTTCAGTTTTTGATGTTTAATAAATTAACAAAACACTCCAAAAACCTGATTTTGCTTTGTCACTTTGATTGTTGTAGACTGATTATATGAAAAAAGAACTGAATCCATTTTAAGGTGAGTCTGAAACACAAAATATGGACAAATTTAAAGGGTCTGAAAACTTTCTGCATGCACTGTATATATATGTAAACACACACACTCTTTATGTGTGTGTATGTACATTAGTGTACACACACACACACACACACACAACCTAGTTCTATTGCTTGATATGGTCTACATTATAATGTTTCTTTGTGATACTGCTTGGCTAGTTCTGACCTGCCACATCTGTCAATGCTCTCTGAATGAAGTCAAATTTCTGGCAGAAAACTTCCTGCAAAACGGAGGTCAGCGACTCCGCAGATGGTTTCTGCAGGTGTGCAGTGTTTACAGCCTTCTTATGCAAAATGCCCATCAATAGCAGCCAATCTTATCTCACTGTTCAGCCGGCAGAAACACTGAGCCTTTGCACTCAATTGTTTTTCCTGTTTATAAGGTGCATTGATGGAGTTCACAAATTAGCAAACCTGGCCTTCGTGTAGCATTGGAATAAAGAGAATTATGTCCTCATCACGCACGGCTATCAAATGAGTTTTGAACAACTATTAGTGCTTCCCTTAGATCCAAGGAGAAACTGTCACCGGGTGTTGAAGAAGCAAGAGAAACACTAGAGATGGCTGCAGTTTTTGCAAAGCCATTCTGTCTGTTTTTCTTCAAGGCTTGTTTCGATATTTGTTTGATCTTGATATTTCTGGTGAAGATCACCTTTAAAAGTACATCTGAACAACACTGCAGAATTAAAGGCCAAAATTCCGTTTGACGGCCATATCAGTAGCCTGATTTGCTCAGCATCTCTCGCTCTCAGACACGGGCCAGATTTCCCATGGTGTCTGTCAGAGTTCCCCAAAGCACAGCACATACCAAAACATCTCCTACAGGAGACAAGAATTTTGCACAACAACTGCAGGGAGGCGGACAGGCTAAAACAGGCAGGCAGGATCAGAGGCCTGACCAGCCTCCCATAAGGCGTAAAGCTGCCGTCACACGCCCCAGACGGCATAGATCATTAGCACACAGGAGGCCACGCTTAGATACGATCAGGGCAGATTGCTGATAAGCCCCTATTCTGAGGTGCCACAAGCGAGGAGCAAAGACAAGACCTGACACCTTAAGGTTTGAGAGCCGCTGTATTTAGATAAAGGCTTCCACACCTTTACTAGGATGTCAAATCACATACCAGGAGTAATATGAGGGAGACTGGATGCTTTCTGTGAGTATTCCTGACACTCTTATATTCATTTTACAATAGGAAAATTACCATTTTACCTGCAATCTTTTATTTTATTATAGTACATCTGTTTAGTTATTGTTCTTCCAAACATTCAGTAACATTACACCCCTTAATATATATATATATATATATATATATATATATATATATATATATATATTTATATATATATTTGAAGTAATGTCAAACAATTCCATTTACTCTTAGTAGAAGATAATTTGCAGATAGTAACAATTCACCAGAAGTATTTACACAGAGTAAGCATTTATCCTTGTGTCCATCTGCATCATATAACAAAGGCAGCAATACTTTTGTATTAAAGGAAGGATCTATATTTATTTTTAACACAGGAACATTTTCTCCGCAATAATAATAAAAAAGGATTCCACACGCCCCATCATAAACTACCCCTGAAACATAGTGCTGTAGGCCATATGGGGGGGGGGGGGGCATTCTTTTCATTATCTCTCCAGCATTCCTTCACTTCATTTTAATATTCATTCTTTTCTTTGACTTGGGACAATCGCTGCAACTGCTCACGTTTGATTTGTATGGCAAGCAGAAAATTACCCTTTTGTGTCCTGGCCACCGTCACTGGATCGAAAGCCCTTGCATCTATCGATCAATATTCCTTAATAATAAAAAAAATGACTTCCTAAGCTTCAGTTTTAATTACGAAAGTAAAAGAACTGGGTTAAAAAGAAATTACCTGCAACTATGTGAGAACCACTTCTCTCATGTATTTGCATCTCAATAACTAAGCAGCCAGACAGATAAATGAAGTTGTGTTGTCAGTACAAACCACAATAGGGGCAAGTGAGTTCCATTCTACGGATATTTGTAATCTAATGCTGGGCATTATGAGATTAAGTTAATTACTGATTGTGAAGGGAAAGAGTGAGAAGGAGGGAGAGAAGCTTAAGTCATGTGGTTTGTTTACAGTGTAATGTGCCAGGTCTCTAAAGTCTCCAATATTACATCTTTATCATACATCTATTTGTAAGCATGGGTGGGCTTTGTGGGATTTTTCATTTGGTTTAGCAGGCATGACCTTAACTTCACCAAATGTTAAAAGCAAATGGCATGATTTCTGGGGGAAAAAAAAGATTTTCTCTTTAGTTTAATTCAATTCATATTCATATAGGCCTAGCCCTGTTCCCAGAGCACTTACCATTTAGCAATAAGAACAGCATAACAGACATAAGGGACATAAGTACTGCCTCTTTAAAATATTTATAACTGACACATCATTAAAAAATAATTGCTCACATAAACACACTAGAAATTCTTTACAAATAAAGGAGCATTTGTCTCCAAGGGCAAACGGATGACAGGATGGAGTACTCAGTACAGTAGATTTTTATTTTTTTCTAAAGTAAGCAAACCCCTTCCTCCATTTTCCGTTAGGTCTGAACTCCTCCGAATCGCTGCGTGTTGTTGTCTTCCCACAACAATAATTCAACGGGCATAATGGGGAACCATCTGTTTTGTGTAGATACTTTGGTTTTCAAACACGCTGTTTTTTTCCCACCCCCCTTTTTCTGCCACCCCCGTACTACATAAGGTCTGTTGTTTAACTCCTTTGGGATGAGGGAAGTCCATAAGCACACAATGCCGAGCCGGTACACCGACACAAACATATCTGCGTGTCAGGGGACTGAATCAATCGATAAATCAATGGGCTCATGTTTCAGTAATGACGTTACACCACATACACTCCAAGAAATGGTAATAAAAAATATAACAGGAGATGGTGTGTTTGGTATAACATGCTACGTCCTCATTTAACCTACAGTCTCACACACTGCCCGCCTCCCTGATCACGCTAACAGGTGTAAAAGGGAAATTCCTTTTCTTATCCTTTGGGTTGGTTACACTCAAAAATATTTTTCAGATGTGCAAAAACGGTGTTAGAAGTTTAAGCATTTAACCAACAGTGCACATACCCAACATCCCCGATTATAAATGTCCATACTACGTACAGGAACAATGACATGCAAACGGTATAGTTTTAAGTGCTGACTCTGTTTTGTTATTAGACCATATACCCAACATCCCCGATAATAAATGTCCATACTACGTACAGGAACAATGACATGCAAACGGTATAGTTTTAAGTGCTGACTCTGTTTTGTTATTAGACCATATACCCAACATCCCCGATAATAAATGTCCATACTACGTACAGGAACAATGACATGCAAACGGTATAGTTTTAAGTGCTGACTCTGTTTTGTTATTAGACCATATACCCAACATCTCCGATAATAAATGTCAATACTACAGGAACAATGATCGACATGCAAACGGTATAGTTCTAATTTATATTTGATAATTAAATTTAGTTCTGTTTGTATTCATGGCTTGGAAGCAAGAAGGACTATCGCCTTGCCGAGCTGTGCTTTTCCGTCACAATCAACATGTAATTAGTCAAACTTGGTAGGCTACTTTTAACGTGTTTTACAAGCTAATTTCTGGAGAAACATCATAAGAAAAACTCTGCTTATATAGTTAAGCTGTTTATTCGTGCACAATTATGCAAATGAAAAAAAGCAGTCTGGGTGGTATAACTTTATTTATATTTAATTATAGTTTAAACTTGGCATTAAATTACTAAAAGACATGATCACATGAATTTTTAATTCTGTGCTCTAGAAACTACATTTGGGGAAATTCGTATACCGTTATTGATAGTGAAAACGATAGTTGTCAGTACTTTAATTACCCCAGTGTTAACTGAGCGTGACAATGAGTCATGACTGAAATTTACAAGTCACGCACGGATGTGTTTCTACTTTTGCTTGGCCAAACAAACGTGTGTAGGGGTTTTTCTAGGGATTTTACCAAAAACAAATTAAAAACTTAAAATGTTTCGTAGTACATCGGGTTGAAATATCCTGTAGAGAAAAAGGGAGGTAATTTTACGCTATCAGCACCTGCACACACAACAGGAAAAGCGCACTTGGGTGACTGCGCGAAACGGCGTGGTTTAACTCCTCCTATAGGGGAGGAGTTGCTGGTACTGGGGTATTTATAAGCCACAATAACTTAAATCCCATACCAAACTCTTGCGTGTCGTCCACGTGCGTTCTTAAATTGCGGAGATTGCTTCGGAACTGATATCATGTCTTACTACGAAGTAAGTGGATTGTCGAAAAAATTGTGCATGTCAAAGAAAAATATATTATTTTGTTTTTAAATGATGTATATCTAAATAAGTGTTTTTATCTGTTCAGCGGAAACGAAATAATGGGAATTTTGTTTCAGACTACACAAAATTATGGCTATAGTTTAAAGTAACAAAAACAAAATCCATTTTTATGACGTGTGTTCAGACATCACATAACGGGGTCAATTAATTGTCTTGAAGATAAGCTGTACAAACTGAGATTCGTTGGTTTATTTTAAATAACTCTGCAACCCTGAATGAGATAAACGGTTGGAAGACGGAAGGATGTTATTATATCTGTATATCACAAATACATTTATGTAATAAATTGTAAAGGACTGATTGTTGATAAACGATAAGCATATATTACCACTGCGCCAAATGATTAAATTATCGGCGTTCTCTTATTCTCTTTTGTAGCATATAGTCCTTGACAACAACAACTCGGAGTCCGGATCTGGATCTGACTTTGACATACCCGAGGGTTTAGAAACTCCCTGCGACAGAAACCTGAGCAATGATTTCCAAAGGATATTCCTCCCAACAGTGTACGGGATCATTTTTCTTCTGGGAATCATTGGCAATGGACTGGTGGTGGTCGTGATGGGCTACCAGAAAAAGTCAAGAACCATGACAGACAAATACAGGCTGCACCTCTCTGTAGCTGACCTCTTATTTGTGCTCACGCTGCCCTTCTGGGCTGTGGATGCTGCCAGCAGTTGGTACTTTGGGAGTTTCCTCTGCGTTACCGTGCACATGATCTACACTGTCAACCTCTACAGCAGCGTGCTGATTCTGGCGTTCATCAGCTTGGACCGGTACTTGGCGGTGGTTCATGCCACCAACAGCCAGACCCCGAGGAAGATCCTGGTAGAGAAAGTGATTTATGTGGGTGTGTGGCTGCCCGCTGCCCTGCTCACGGTACCTGACCTGATGTTTGCCAAGTCCCAGGACATGGACAGCAGGGTGATATGTGACCGCGTCTACCCACTGGAAACTCTTACCACCTGGATGGCCGCTTTCCATTTCCAGCACATCCTGGTGGGCTTCGTCCTGCCTGGCCTAATCATCCTTACCTGCTACTGCATCATTATTTGCAAGCTGTCCCGGGGCTCTAAGGTGCAGCAGAAGCGGAAGGCGCTGAAGACCACCGTCATCCTCATCGTGTGCTTCTTCGGCTGCTGGCTGCCCTACTGCACGGGCATCTTCGTGGACGCCCTGGTGCTGCTCAAAGTGATCCCCCACAGCTGCGACCTGGATGAGAGTCTAGCCAAGTGGATCCCAATCACTGAGGCCCTGGCCTACTTTCACTGTTGCCTCAACCCAATCCTCTATGCCTTCCTCGGCGCTAAGTTTAAGAAATCGGCCCAGAACGCGTTGACTGTGAGTCGCGGATCCAGTCTGAAAATGCTGTCCAAGAAAAGAGCTGGTCTGTCATCAATTTCTACAGAATCGGAATCTTCCAGCTTCCATTCTAGTTAACCCACAATTAGTAGCTAGTAGTAAATTAGATTCAGAGAACATGTTTTGAAATAGAGGCATGAGTGACAACTTGAACTCCTTACATGTTCTACATGTATGATTCAAGATTCTTGTGTATGTATGTGTATATATATATATATAGTTTTATATACCTTCTTATGAATTGTTGATTGCCTATTCTCATGTATATTTAAGCTTGCAATCATTATATACACCAAAGAAGATATGGAAATGTTCAGGCAGAGCCTACTGGCCATTGATTGGCTACTTCTGTTCAAGAATAAAATGAATTTTGTGCTAGCCTCAGTGTTAAGTCCAGGTTAAGCTCCAAACCAATACAAACAGACAGACACAAAAAGTATTACTTGTTTTTTTTTGCTGACCATATACCCATAAAGTCAACTGAATTTACCACCTTCATATATCTACATACTGTTATACAATTTGTAAATAGTCATTAGCTTTTTTTTTTGTTAGCACTTATGTTTACTGAAAAACTGTTATTTATTAATGCTGTGGTTCATGTAAGCTGACAGAAGCAGGGTTCTGTGTGTATACAAACAATCCCAGTGGCCACTTTCACTATTAAGATGTTCAGAAATAAAAAAAATGAAAGGAATCTTCTTCGAGTGATTTGTCGAATTGCTCACAACGTGGTATTTGCTCAGCTCTGCACACAAATGCTCTTTTAAAAGATGCGCAATCCATGCGAAAGAAGGGTATGGGGGTGGGGGGGTTGGTCGATGTGAGTGTGAAAATGTAACCACCTGGGCTGACTGAAAGGAGGATGAACGAGAGAGGGGTCCCTGCAATGGCTGTGACATCTGTCCTCTTTTTAATCATTATTATTCCTTTCCATTCATCAGGGGGCACGAAGACAAAGATAGGGCTCCCCAAAGGCCTGATTAGTTGGTGCAGGTCACAGAAAATCCAATGCACCCCCCCCCCCACCTCCCAGCCCCCAAAGCAGCGCACGGCCGCAGCGCGTCAGTGTCTAATTAATGTCACCGCATGTCACCAGAAGGATGGATACCTTGTTAGTTTTCGCCATTGTGTGTGTGAATGCCTGTCAGGATCGGGGCTTTACCGCCGCTGTCATATCATCTTAGTCATGTGTTTCTGTTTTAGCTAAAGCACATTGTGGAAAGTATTTAAAAAAAAAAACACACAACAGCACAGCAATTAAGAGACGTGGAACAATGTGGGCTTCATACCTGCATCACTAGTACAAATACCAGATCTTTTCTAATCTGGTCTATATTCCTCATCAAAAGTAATCAAGTTGCATTTCTAATTACATGGTACGCGCATTATAGACACATTTGTCTCTGGTGAGTCATAATGCCAAGGAAGAACAATAATGAATAAATCGTACATATGCATTTGAATATAAGATGCATATTACTATGCAAAGGTGGGGGCTAGACTAACATCTGGCATATTTGCAATAAAGAATGATGAATGAAAAAGCTGTTTGCGTGTTTTAGGGGTCAGCAAAGCTGGTTTTCCGAAACACTGTTCATCTTAAATATATTCTCATATACCAGAGACAGCAATTACAGGAGCATATATATTGGTTTGCTAGTACTGGATCCAGGGTGAGTATGTGGACTTTGATTAGCATGCAGCTAATGTGCTCTTGAGGCTCGTTTTAAATATATATAGGACTGTGCTGAAATTATAATGGAGTCGAACCGGCAGCTAACATTTAATGGTAAACTAAGCCGGAATGCAGGGGGACTGAGTACGCATTGCGGCAGCCACATTAACGTTAAAGCCAGCTACTCCACAATTAGCATAACTTTAGACTATAAAGAAGGTGTCAAGTATCTCATCGGGGCAGACTTTTCAGACTCTGCTTGTCTACTTGTCAATATGAAAGGAGGAAGAATAGGCGGTGATGTTCTCCCATNGCAGCATCCCATTAATGTGAAGGCCCAGCTGCTCTTCTGTCTAAATATGGAGCTGCGTCGTTTACACTCCTTTAGGCCCAGCTGAGCCCCCCCCCCCTTTGGCTCCTTAACAGGTACTTAAAAGCACCTCTTTGGAAAAGGGGAGGATGCCAAATTATTACAGAAGGTATAAAACCATCATCTGAAGTACATCCAAATAGAGGTAAAACACACACATCTGTTCTGCCATATCTACACCGGAATATGACAGCTGTTAGCTAATGGTGTGTGTTTTGTAATATTGTAATAATTTAAATTAAGTAAACGTTCAAACAGATGCACCGTTTTTGTGATTTTTGCCTGTACAGGAAGAGGAACAGTGCACCCCTTGGGTTATAAAAGGTCAGAGGGAAAAAGCTATTGACGTACATGACACAGGAAATAACTTACGTCTAGGACCATTAGCAATCGCATTCAACTACTTCAAGGGTCTATTGGCTTGACCCCAGAACAACAGTGTGAGACTGTAACCTAGCTAGCTTGTGTTTCAATTCATTATTGACAGGATGTTTATCCAAGCGGGCTTTGGGCATACAGTACAAAGATTACAAAATAAGTTTGTCAGTATCTAGAGATGGAGTGTTCGATAACATCAGCGTATCTGGTTGAGGTCTCCCTGTTGGAGGTTATATTGTTTGGCTGAGGATGTGACCACCAGAAAGGGCAGCTTCCTGAAGCAGGGGATCCAGAGTTATAGCCCTCATTAACGGCGCTCTCCAGGGGCTGCGTCTTCAACTGCTCCTCCCCAGCCTCTGCCATTTCGCAAGGGATAGATTGTGTGAAATGTGTAACATTTATTTCCATGCATTTATTAATGTGATTAATGATTCTTCAGAAGAGAAGCATGCAATCTACCTATACTATCAGAGGGAAAATGGACAATGCAAGACAACAAAAAATAAACCTAGCAGAAGCAACACCCTTTTGAAATATCACCTTATTGTTTTCTGTTAATGTATTTTTTCTATTTCTTTTTATGCGTTAGACACAAATTGATTCATATTGTGACCATGTGTGGTTTACATGGTAAAGAGAAGGCTGTACCACCACAGTTTATTATATAAATATATTAAATATTTCATACATACAATGTAATGTAAAATATATGTGCCAGATGCTGGTATTGGCATTGTTTTTTCCATAAACAAAACAAATAAACAAAGATTTTCCCATTCACTGCATTTTTTTTTTGCCCCAAGATTATTTACACTAACGTTGCAAATAGTATTAAAGTAAGCAAACTACTGTACAAAATACAAATGTGCGCCCCCCCACCCTCCATGTGAAATGACGCATGTCGGACGCTGGCAAAATGGAACTGAGGGATGCAGTCAGGTGGCCTTTGAATTTCCAGTGGAAAATAGCTTAAAGGCTGATTTAACGTTTTTTTGCGTGTGGAAAGTATAACTGATTTCTAATGACCCCCAGAAAGTTCAACTTAAGTACAACTTTTAGTTTTCAACTTTTAAGTTAGGGAAAGTTAAATGAGTTTGCGTGTTCTCCCTGCGTCATGTGCTATTTTGGCATCCACCCACAAATAAAAATGTAAAACCAACATGATGACCAGTAAAGCATTACTGTGGAACCTGTGGAACTGTAGAAGACTTCTTCCCAATCCGGAACCAATTCCGCACGTTTCCACTGCAAAAAAACGGCTCCGGCACAACAGAACAGAAAAGAACCATAATGGTAGTGAAAGTGGAATGGACTATCATGTACAAACCTTCCTTATACCATAACTGATATAGATTTGTCTGATATTGCTAGTGCTGGCAATTGCCAGCTTATCAGTAGATTAACATCGCACAGTTTTTTATTCTTTGGAAAACAAAAGATCAGTGTGCTGGCCGACTTTAATAAATTATAAACATGTCACAGGTCGAATAAAATATTGTGGCACTTGAGTGGCAGACAGCACAGTTCAATTATTAGCAGACTCTTATTGTGCCGTCTTTAAAAGGACAGTGGTACAACAGCGAGCAATAATAAACTCACACACATAGGTCTTTAAGGACACAAAAGTGGATATAGGTGGCAGAGACAGAGCACAACGAGTCATACTCTGAATTTTTTTTTTTTGGTTTGGCAGCTTATAAAAACTTAAAATCTGAATAAAAACAAAAACGGAATGAATATTTACTTTAGTCTCACTTCCGTCTACGTAACATTTCCATTTCGTTCTTTTTTTGAAACGGGTGGAAACGTGGGCCAGTTCTCAAAAGGCACCAAGCGAGAATCAGCCCAGCACCTGTGCCAGCATCGGCTCTGTGTTGGTGCAAAGGAGGCAATCATAGATTAAATCCAAAGGCCAAAAGGTGGTAAAGCCAGCGACCAAAGTGTGGCAATGCGGGAGTCTGTGTGGGCTTTTGTCCCTCGAGAAATGAAACACTTGGGACTTTTGTAGAACTGCAAGACCATGTCAAGCGGCTGTTCTTGTGTTGTTGTCCATTTTACACTTTGTCGCAGCCTCATGCATCTCCAGAGTCGAGCCTTTCCACACATATTGTGTGCTAATGCAGCCTGTGTGTGGAAAACTCATGAGCCTACCGGGACTAGCCTGTGTTTCCATGTTTACTCCAAGATTAGAAGACACCTCAGTCATGGTCTTGCACAGCGGCGCTGTAGGCATCCTAGCAGCTGAAGGTTTTGATGCTGCCTGTGATCAGAAGGTTGCTGGTTCATATTCATATCTAGTGGGCAGCAGGGTGATTTCACCGTCGGTTTCCTGAGCCAGGCACTTAACCTCAATTGTTTTAGGGATTGGCTGACCCTTCTGTCTCAACTGTACATCGCTTTGGATAAAAGTCTCCTCCAAATAAATAAATGCAGTATAACAGTAATGAGCCAGACCACCAGGACCAAACTCCCGCCATTCCTCCTGCACATTTGATTTTAATTTGAACTTTTTGTTATCACATGCAGCTATTGTAATCCATTAGCTTGGATCAAAGTCATTTAATAAAACAAATGAACAAGAAACAACTTAGTGTACTGTAAGTGTAAGATAAGCCATTGTGTGTGTGATTTTGTGACTCGGAGAAGAAATATTGCTATCATAAATTCTACTTTCGGAACTTTATTTATCAAGAGCTGTGCTTATCTCATTCAGGCTGCACAACATCAAAGATTAAAGCATTTATTTATAAAATACTAATGCACTCATTTTTATGCTGGCATGAGCCTCTGAAGGGGACACATAAAGCAGCAGTAGAGTGTCTGATGGCCGCCCCTCCATTTTCACCCGCAGCCGTATTTGCAAGGAAGGGCACCTGCCGCTGTCATTGTTCGTATTTCACCGTATTTCAAACACCTGGGAGCTCCCAGCCTCTGCGTTTCTCATGCACTTGTTATTTCCTGTGCTGCTGTTCTGGCAGGACGAGCTAAACTTAGCCGCTCACAGAGATGGAGCTTCCTTCATGGGTCCCGTCAGTGGAGTTCATTAGCCAATGGTCCGTTGTGTTTGATCTCCGGCGCACAAGTGGAGGTCAGTCACAACACTGGTGTGCCTCTAGTCCCGGACTCAAGGCAAAGGTAATTCCTGGTCACGATCCAAAGAAATACAATCCATTGTCCACCAGGAACTGTCGTCTCTGGTTTTGAGTTTTAGGGATGCCTCTGTGGACAGAGGTTTGACGGTACGTCACAAAATACATACATTCTTTCTGTA